AACTTGCTAATCTAAGTAATGAAAAAGTGTAAATTATAAAACTAATCCATCAGAAATTAATATTCTTATTTAACTTGAATTCTAAACTTGCCACTTAAATAAAATATCTGTTGTTCAAAATTTTAGCAAATAGTAAAAAAATACTATAGAAATTAGAAGATTCTTTAAATATTCATACATTTTGAAAATATACTTGAACTGTGAATTGAAAATTGGTATGATATTATCTGTTATTTTTCATTTGAATAACAAAATTTAAAAACACTATATTTTTTGATAACAATATTATTACAATCAATAATAATATCAATTGGTAGTCATCGGTTAATCAACGACTACCAATTATTGCATTGCCTACGGTAAGGGCTGTTTCACTTACAGATAAATTAAAATTGAAAATAGGCACTAATAAATTATGCGGCTCGTGATAAATTTTAATGTAAATAACTATTATAAATGTCTCGACTTTTGTGGATGCTCTCGCTGTTAATTTAATTATACACTTACATGCTAAATTTTCTTTAAATGTAGTATACAAAGCAATACAACCATATGTGAAACTAAAGAAGTGGCTTAGTCTTTTAAAAATTTAGAAAATTATGTTTATTGTTATTTAAATTATTTTTAGAATGGGGAAACATACATTAAGTCCTTTTTAAATGTTCTTTATAGTAGCATCTATGAATTAAAATTTTGAAACATTCATTAGACTTTAGACAAAAAACATAAATAAGTACATAATAGTAAAAGCTTTGCATCGAAGCTAAAATATAACTTAATGAAATATTCAAAATAATCTTAAGTCAGTACAGGATAAAAACTTAAGGTTAATTTCGGCATGAGTATAAAAGTCAAAATCGAAAAATGATGCATTACAAAAACTATTGTATAAACTTCAATTTACCAAAAACTATCCCATAACTGTCGATATATCAACTGCAATATTAGAAAATATGTGGACAAGTTACTTTAATCTGAGTTAAAAATAATTATTAGTTGGTAGTTGAAAAGTATACTACAACTCCTATAGGCATAAGTTTGGAAACGTAGTTGCATATTGAATAATAATGTTATAATGACCACTGATAATTTTTGTGTAAACTTTCAAACTACTACCTGTAATATGTTTGACAGCATGACGTACTTAAAATGACACTAATTGTCGATAAAGCGACCATAACAATTGAATACGTTCCAACGGTCACTGATAAAAGTGTACACTAGTTGTGTATGTTAGACACCAATGCTAAAACTCCTATAGGAAAAAGTCCGGAAACATTATGATATGCATTGACCGATAATGCTATATTCTACAAATACCCCAATTTAAGATCGTGTATAAGAGTGCGATTTTTAAAATGTCCATTTAAGTTCTTTTTACATGCATTAATAAAAAAATTTATTTTCTTAATAAATTTGCAGATAATTTGCAATTGATATCATCTTTATAAAATTAAATTCATAAAAATGATCATAGCAAAATCTGCCTTCAAGTAGGACACTATTCTACCCTTAATACGACAATTATTTTAAAATGGTTTAACATAAAAAGTTATTTTCACCATAATTCTTTTTAAAATTATATTGTCCATTGAAATGAGTAAGAAAAATTAGAGGTTGCCATTTAAATTTCTTAAGTTAGGGTAGATTTCTACCCTTTTGCATTAGGGTTGAACTTTAATTTTAATCGTAAAAGATGCATTTAATTATTCAATTAGCTTCTAAAAAAAAAAATTATTAAAAAAATCAATAGCGGTTCTAAAAAATCGGTGTTTCCGAACTTATTGAACACTCTGTATAGTATGGATATAATATATCCCCGTTAAATCATATTATGTGTATTATAATTTTCTGGAACTTTTTGGAATATATTGGAAATTTCTGGAAGTTTTTAGAAGTCCGTAGCGGATAATCCGTCTTTTAGGCCGTTCCTATTAAACATTGTACTATGCCACTTTTAGTATAACTAATAAAGAATCACAGATGGTGTCCCCTGATAATCGAGATCTCCCACAAAAATCATTCTAATTAAAATGTTTCCACAAAAAATATAGTCCGTCCGCATCCAAATCGTTCAAGCATCCTCTTCTTTACTCACCTCGATTATCAAGGCCTGGAAGTGAAAAGTAGAATTTATTCAGAGTTCATATTTATTCAAATTAAACTACTTTCACGTTATAAAATCCTGAATCACACACGAAACCTCAGGTGAGTTATTCAAAAGTTCTATAAAATAATTATTGCTGAGCTTTCTTCAAGTATTTTACGCTAAGAAATGTATAGTCTATATTTTTATTGTATTCACTTACATAAGTATTCTAATAGATCCTGACTATTACTAAGTTTAGTTCAGGTCTGTTCTTGACGAATCCTCCTATCCAGTAAGATAATTTACTTTCTTTAGTAGTAACTCAATTACAAATAGTCTCGTATATTTTATTGAATTAATTTTTATATTTTATATTTTATTGATATTAATGAAAGATACATCGGTGAATACTTATCTACTTTTATTTTACCTTTCATTACTGTTATATCATGTTGGGTTACTACAATTATTATTATTTAAACATAAAACATCTTGTTTTTATTTTATCAATATTAAATATATATAAATTTGTATTTGTAATAATAAACCGCCTTTTTTATTAAATCAAGTGTTCATCCAATAGTGATTTGACTATTGTTTTTTACATGTGTATGAATAAAGTTTGAATAATAATAATATTTTAAATACTTTAATATTTACTTAAAACACTTTTTTTATATTTAAAAATATAGATGTAGGAATAAATTATATTAGTAGTTAATTTCACATTTGTATAACATTAGTGCATATATTCTGATGTAATCAAAAAATTGTCAATAGTTATTCAAAATTTAACACTTAGAATAAAAATGAAGGTGAGTAATAAATATTATCTGAGGTGCTCAAATGAAATCTTAAAAATAATTTTATTTTATTCTAGTATTGGCATTTGAAATCTCTATTGTTGATAATATCTTGTGTAATATTTAACGGAGGTAAATTCTGTTTTACATTACTTATAAAATTTTTATATGTATTCAATTTATACGTTAGACTATACAATTTTGATTTTCTAAGAATCAATATTTGTTTGTAAAATTTACGAAGTTGCTTCATAATTGAAAACTATGAAATATTTATGAACAAATATAAAATATATTGAGAAAATTATTAATTGATACCAATCATTAATTATGTTAATTTTGTTTGTTAATTAATTTTATTTTATTTTAATGGGTCATTCCATGTGAAATCACCAAATGTATGTGCTGGTATAGTTAAAAAATTTATGAAATTTATATCATAGACTTCTTAAATGTCATTGACAACAAAAATAATATTTTTTTTTTTTTTTTACCAGATAGCGCATTTTTTATAATTAAAAACATGAAAATACAGCCTCTGTTCTAGAGCCTATAACTTCACATCCAAATAAGTTATCACTGTGGAACTAGCACTGTTTTACTCATATTAAATAGTACTTAAATTTCATTCTTAAGTTTATCAATTTTGAATTTTTTTGAACATCGAAATTTTGATTTAAATTTTGCAGTATATTAATAGCAAAATTTTAAGATCAAAATTTTTAATTAAAATTTTTTTTTCTTTTCAAAAAATTTAGTTATGTTCTTTTAACCCATATCATATTTGAGTCGATTTATAATTTTGATACCAATCATAAATATTTTGAATCATTAATTATGTTAATTTTGTTTGTTAATTAATTTTATTTTATTTTAATGTATTTTTTTTTGAGTCTGATGGCTAAAATTTTAATTTATTGGTGTCTTATTTAACATAGTGAATAAAAAAAAAAAAATTTATCTCCTTAAAATATATTACCATTTACGTTTTTTGTTTAATACATTGTTAGTGTGATTTATGTTTATTAGCATCGATGCAAGGATTAGAAGATATTAATTTTACAAAAAGGTTTTTTTTTTGTCGGTCACCACTCTTAGCTCTCACTGGGTTGATATCTTTCAACNAAAAGTTTTTTTTTTTTTGTCGGTCACCACTCTTAGCTCTTACTGGGTTGATATCTTTCAACGATATTTCAAAAATCACAAATTGTATCAAATTGAAGACATATTATTACTTGATAATTAAACAGTAATTTTCTCGATTCCTTTTAAATAAAAAAAATTTTGATTTTTAAAATGAATGAATTTTGACATTTTTTAAACTTTTTTCTTAAAACAGTCATAACTTTTTTAAAAATAAATAAATTAAAATAAATAATTTTTTTCACAAAATAATGTAGGTTTAATAATCCTATTCTTTATTTTTCTACAGAGGTGATCCAAAACTGATAACATTTAACTTTTTCAACTTATTTTTTGAAAATGTTCTAGAAATAATTTGTTATTTAAACATATGTTAAATTTAAGATTATGTTTCATAATAAAAAAAATATACATATTGTCCGATGACCTATCATCTATGTGTAAATAGTTGGGGTATGTTACACCTTCATAATAATTCAATATGATGTCTTTGGGCATATTTTTTTTCAATTTAAATTTTACACTGCAATTATTTTTAAAAAATGAACAACTAGGCGATTTTTTTATATTAAAATACTTGCAGGCGTTTGCCATAGCAATGAGTTCACCGATTTCCATAATAGTTACATGAATCTAACTTACATTGAATATACAATTATTTTGAATATTTTACCTCTCTTAAGTTAATAAAAACGACTTTGAGTTTTTGAATTAATTTAAATTGTCCTCTTTAGCTTCTAATAAATGTGATTTACGATTGCCGTATCGGTACCACTACCGTTAATCACACTCGAGGTGCGAATTTCGAATGCCATTTGTCGTTATAATAACTTTATAATTTTTTGATTATTTCTTCTTGAGTTGGAAAAAATTCAAAATTCATTTGATTTTTATCTCATTCAGACTAAATAACTANCTATACTACACCAATTAATTTCATCAAAGAACTAAATAACTTTAATGAATTTTAACTATTCAATCAATTTTAATGATCGGTACATTAAAAGAAATCCGATTTTAATCTAATTGAACTTATTGTCAATAAATATCGGAAAAACTGTTTTTATTAAATATCTCTACAAATAATAGGAGTAAAAAATTTGATTTATATTGAATTACACAATAAAATCATATTATATAATCAATATTTATAATGATTATAGACTACTATTTTGCAAAACCAAATTTATACAATTATTAAAAATCTGAAATTATAATTTTTCTATCACCTATTTTTTGAGATTATAACTAATTTGAAAACGAGTATTTACATTTAATGAAATAGAATAAAAACAAATAAAATTTTGTATTTAATGATGTCAACACCAAATTTGCTCGTCGAGATAAAAAAAAGTTATGGTAAAATGTCTAATTTAATTATAAACTTTACTAAAAATCAGCTTGAACCAAAAAAATCGGTATAAAATTACGTTTTTTTGAATCAAAATTTTGCACAAATAATTTAACATATTAAAAATCAAACTCGACAAAAATTAAAAAAAAAATATTTTTAAAATGTAAATCCTTGTTTTTTAAAAATAAGTAATAATCTCAAAAAAGAGTTGATACGAAAAATCTAATTATAGATTTAAGATCGGCGCAAAAATTGGTTTAGAAATTTATATTTTGGTTTCTGATGAATATTCGTTGAAGATCAATAAATTTATTCATAAGTAACAACATNGAAGATCAATAAATTTATTCATAAGTAACAAACATTTTTTTTTTTAATTATTGCATCATATCTTTCATTTTTTTATACGTTTGCCATAAAAGTTTGGATCCAGCTATATTTACAAAACTATATTATCAAAAGTATAATCATTTCATACTATATATAATTGCAGAAAAAAAGGTTTTCTTATACTATATTCATAAATAAAAAAGCTTGTAATATGGATATTGTAACAAAAAAAAGGTTGAATTTGTAATCACAACTTTTAGCTCGACATGCAAGTTTGAAATTGAATAAATAATTAAACAGATAATTGTATGAGAATTAAAAAATGTTTTTGTTAAGTTATAGTAATGGTATGAAGTCAGAAAATTTTATAATTACTATTGACAGTTATTTCGAACTATGTACCTCAAACTTGAATGATTCAAGTGTAACCGACTCTCCTACCATACGCCGCATTCGTCTGTAGATAAAAATGGCAATGTAAGCTAGTTCAAATATAAAAGCTATTTTTTTTTACTTGAAAAAATAAATACTTATAAGTCGTAACACAATATATTTATACAATGATCCGAACGCGATTGATTGTTGCTTATTCGTTGTTAATACTAATTATTCCTTAACCCCACTACATTAATATAATAACAATATGGGTTCATAACACCCCCCGCGTAGAATGACAACATATTACCTATTTTTTTTTTTATTTTTACTAAATATAACTAAACTACTCTGGGTACTCTGTTTTCTTGTACATTTTCTTTTATATTACTTAATTGTATCTCTTCTTTTAATACTTCCTTACTTAATTTTAACTTACCATTTTTCCCTTTATTATTTATTATAACTATGATCATTAAACTTACACTGATAAGTAAAATTAATAACAAAGAAATATGAGTTTCCGTGAATCGATATTTTTGGTATGGTATTTCTTTTTCTAATTGTAGCTCATTTAACGTTTTAGAATACTTAGAAAGGTCAATTAAATTAGTTTTAACGTTATCGTTTAAGTTAATAATATCCTCTGATTTTAGATTTTTAAATTTAGTTTGTATGTCAGAATTTATGCTTAAATTAAAAGTTGGGTTAAAATCTTTATATATTTTTGAAGTAATATTACTTGAAGGTATTAAAATTGTTTTGTCATCAGTGTTAGCCTCACAGTTATTTTTTAAACTTAAAATACCCGTTTCCGATATACTTAACGTTACTGGTTGAACAATTTGATTGCACTTAATAACTATACTACCCTTATTAACTACGTATAACCATGAATTTACATGTTCTAATTTATGCCAAATGTTATGATTAATTTTTACATACTTTAAAATACACTCTTTAGGTAAAACATCTGGTTGTCTAAATAATTTTGCAAGACATGAATTATTTATACTAAAAATAGGTTGAGCATAAGGACATAATATTGTTTCACCTATATATTTACATGAATTTAATTGTTCTATACTTAATTCTATATAATACAATCTAGATTTTTCTATTGCTATATAATCCATGGGATAATCTATTACAACAAATATATTATCGTGAGTTTTTGTCGGTAATGCGATTGGTTTATATAAAGTGAATTCATACTTATTAGCTAAAGGGATTTTTAACTTAAAAATTAAGGTATTTTGAATATATACAACATTTATATTTATCAAGTGTAATAGTTCTGATACTCCAGATACTAACCAACTATTAGGGATGATTACATTTAGAGGTAAATGAGACTTTATTATTTTTATTTGTTCTATCAACGATTTGGTATTCATGATAATAGGGTGTAATAATCCTTGTATTGCGGAAATTATAATGTTAACCAAATTCTGGGTTTCATACGCATACTAATTAATTATTTGATTGAGCAACATAATTTTTTCTGTCAACTCTGTTTCAAATTGAAGAACTCCCATTTCTCGAATAGTAGAGTTTACTTCTCGAAATAAGAAATTATATTTTACTTCTAAACTTATTTTCGATTGTTCTAGATTGATAAGTGACGAATTTACGTTTGAAAACATGGATTGCATTATGTTTTTTTTGTTTCTGTAAGATGTATTATTTGGTTTCTTGATCGTTCAAGTTTATTGATTTCTTTGTAAAAATATTCAGCATCAGTATCATCACATACTTTATTATTATTTTATTATTATTTATTTATTAACGCCCTTTCGGGCAAAGAGTGTACATTCGTATTACATGTTTATAAACAATTTACATAATAAGAATGAATAAAACATACAACAGAATACATAGAATATAAAAGATATTAAATTAAAATTAATATATACATATAATATATTTA